CCTCATTCTAACTAACAAAATCTATTTTTATAACTACTAGCCAATTTGGTATACTCTAATCAATCTTATTAAATCCTATAGTTATACACTTATTCTACACAAAGTTACAGCTTACAGTAACAATTCTTTCAACTATCTGGCTAATAATATTGCTTAACATTATCAACTCGCCCCCATTCTGTTACTTAACTATCACAATATATATAATTCATCATTCTTTCTCCAATACCAAAACTATAATATTGAACAACCTTCTCAATATGCTATCAAAAATATATGCAATGCTTATATCATTGCTATGTGGTCCTCACAACATCATATAAACAACATCATATCTGTTATTATATAGTTTTGAGCATTCGTCTTATAAAGTATTCTAAAAAATATATATCTCTCAAAGCTATAAGTTGAAACTTATACATAAAATTGGGCATAATACCTTCGAGATAGTTCTAATAAATATTCTTCATTCAAGAGAAACTCGAAAAATATATAGAAATTTGTCTTTTTTTTTATAATTAAACAATTTACATCTTAGACAGCTAACATGGTTTTGATGTCCCGCCTAGCATGAGAGACGTGCCTCAGCTCAGAGCATCCCCTGTAGGCATACCTAATTTTTTACCCGTGCCCTGAACCCTAGCACTAAGGCCATCCCAAGTTGATTTTTGTTAACGTCTTCTGTTATATGATTGGCTTGTTTAATTTTCGGGGGACAGCTAAAGGGAAGGGAGGATGACGTTAACTTAAAAATCAACTTTGAACGGCCTAAGTAAAAACTTTATTCCCATGACACTTTTTGACCCATTGATTAAGGCACTTGAATGCCCTTAATAACTTTATCTAACCCGACCTTTATTATAAAAGTTTTGGATTAAATACTAAGTGTATTTGTAAATTGAACTTTTTTGAAACTATTTGCTTTAATAAGCCTCAAGCAAGAACCTAATTCCTAAAAAAAAAAAAAAGTTACGTCACTGGGTTTAAATTTTAACATATATCAGTTTTTAATTAAAATAAATTCTTTTTATCGTTCTAATTACTGATTATATAATGTCTAACTAAATATTCAATTCCTTACAAAAGTAGTCGATCACTTAAAAAACATAAAAACTTCTTAAGAAAAATTGACAAGTAATTTGAACGAATAAGAAAATTCAAAATGACGAAAGAAAATGAATAAAATTCATAGTACAAGTTACTCTCGTTATAGTAAACTCTCGAAATAGAATGACTTATTAAAATCTCAAGCTAATGGCCAATATATATATATAAACTCTTAATATAAATTTACTAATAAACTCTCGATATAGTAAATTTTTTAAAAAAATTTATTAATGGAACGGACCACTTGTATAATATATATATTTTTTCTCGAGCACAAATAATGTAATAAATAATTTGAATTATTATTTTGCAAGGTTTGATATAATAATTGAAAAAAAATCATATTAGTGATGAGTATAAACTGTTTGGCTTTGATAAGTGTATACAGTATGACCATATTATTCAAAGTTCATATCAAAATTGTATATTTTCAACGTAATTTTGTTAATATTCAACAAAGCAAAAGAAGCATAGGCTTCTAATTTTAAACGGACTTTCATTTTGGTGAAAATTTAAACCTCAGTTCAGCAGTTACGTATAATACAGTATGTTTTGCATCACAGTATCTTATCACCTGCTCTACGTAGTACCAATTAAATATCATTTTAAATCGATCTACGAATAACAGATACGTACCAGGATAATCTATCTTTACAATTAAAGATGGCAGAATCAGAGCCATTTATTAAATTTCCGTCTCGAAGATCTGTAGTGTTCGGTACTCATGCAATGGTGGCATGTAGGTTAGTAGGACAAATGATATTGTAATAGGCATAATGGATTATATACGTAGTAAAAAAAATTTCAAGTTTGATATATTACATGTTTTAATATATCGATAAATTTGAGAAAAAAGTTTTTATAAGAGTTGACTCACTATCTACTATAATTCTATAATAACATTCATAAAAATTTTAAAGATGCTATAAAAACAAATTAAAAAATATATATATATATCAGATTACTCAAAGATTCTATGAAAACAAATTAAAAAAAAAAATATCAGTTTTAATTATAAACATTTTTCATTATAATAATAACGATGACATATTATACGTGCACATAGTCAACCTCTAGCATGTCAAGCAGGTTTAGATATATTAAAAAAGGGTGGAAATGCTGCGGTAATTATTTTATATATACAGTATTTTCATAAATATTTGAACGATTTTATATATTTTTGATTCATTTTTTATTGTGAAAAAGGATGCTGCTGTTGCAGTTGGTATGTTTAAGAAATTAAAATTGTTTTTTTCTCATATCTTTTTTACATTTATTGAATGATATATACTTTTTTTTTTTTTTTTTTTGTAAACTAAGCTGCCGCATTGAATGTAACTGGTATATTACTCATATAATTTTTGACTTTTATTTACGATACAAAAAAAGGTTTATTATAACACATTATGCTAATCTACTTACAAAGAGCCGTCATCAACAGGAATAGGCGGAGATTGTTTTTGCCTTTTTTATAATGCAAAGACCAAGAAAGTCGAAGGTTTGAATGGATCAGGAAGGTATTTAGTAAATATTATATCAATCAATCCATTGAATAATTAAAAAAAATTTTTAGTTATTTATAATTTCTAAATTTTTTAAAATTAAATTCAAGATCACCCGCTAAACTTACTTTAGAATATGTTCGTAATGTTCTTGGTATTGTTGAAAATAACATACCATCATTAAATATCAATGCTGCGACTGTTCCCGGAGCTGTTGCAGGATGGGTTGACACTATTAATTGGTTTGGGAGTGGAGATTTAAAACTTGCTGAAATCTTACAGCCTGCAATTGATTTAGCTGAAAATGGTTATCCTGTATCAGAAATAAGTGCTCAAATGGTATTTGATCCACTATTTATTTAAAAAAAAAAAAAAAAAAAATTCTTAAATTTTTTTTTTTTATGTTTAAAAATTTTTTTTTTAATTTGATTTTTTTTTTTTTTGTAAAAAATTTTTTTGTTTATTTTTAAAAAAAATTTTTTTAAAATAAATTTTTTAATTTTTTTT